GTTTTTCTGTGTGTTCTAGGCTGTCCTGGCGCTAGCTCTTATAGACCAGGCTGGCTTTAGAGTCAGAGATCTGCCTGCTTCTGCCTCAAGTGCTGAGATTAAAGGCATTTGGGGTTAACTAAAAATTTTTTTTAAACTAAATTTTTATTATGCATCATAGAAACTTTACCTGAATAACTGAACTTTATTTTAATATGTGATTGTTTTCAGTTGTCTTCTTACTGTTGATAACTTATAAATTATCTATTATTTTAATCAAAATTATAATAATAATCTATTATTTCATCAAAAGTATTGGCAAAGAGCATCATTACCAATCACATATATACAGTAGTCCAGTTCTGTGTGTTTCTGAATGGGTGTTTAAGGACAATTCTGAACTGATTTAGTCTTAGATAAAGAATTAAAAAAAATGGGGCTGGGCCGGTGGTGGTGGTGGTGGTGGTGGTGCTGCTGCTGCTGCTGCTGCTGCTGCTGCTGCTGCTGCACACCTTTGATCCTAGCACTTGGGAGGCAGAGCCAGGTGGATCTCTGTGAGTTCGAGGCCATCCTGGTCTACAGAGCGAGATCCAGGAAAGGTGCAAAACTATACAGAGAAACCCTGTCTCGAAAAACAAAACAAAACAAAAAAGTGGGGCTGGAGGGACAGCTCAGCAGTTAAGAGCACTGGCTGCTCTTCCAAAGGTCCGAGTTTAATTCCCAGCACGCACATGGTGGCTTACAACCATTTATAGTGGGATCTGATGCCTTCTGACATAAAGACGATAGAGCACTCATATGCATAAAATAAATAAACTTTAAAAAATAATTAAAAAGTAATATTCACTATCTGGTGGCACACACCTTTCTTTAATCCCAGCACTGGAGAGGCAGAGGCAGGTGGATCTCTGAGTTTGAGGCCAGCCTACTCTATATAGTGAGATCCTATCTCCAAAGATACAAAAAAAAAAAAAAAAAAAAAAAAAAAAAAACCCAAAAAAAAACAAAAAAGTGTTAGAAGTGTTAGGTCTAACTTGCTGATGTATCTGTCATGCTGGGTTGTTTTTTTGTTTTTGTTTTTCCGACTTTATTTATTATGTATACAGTGTTCTGTTTGCGTGTATCCCTGCCGGCCAGAAGAGGGAGCCAGATCTCATTACAAATGGTTGTGAGCTACCATGTGGTTGCTGGGAATTGAACTCGACCTCTGGAAGAACAGCCACTGTTCTTAACCTCTGAGCCATCTCTCCAGTCCTGTTTTTTGTTTTTTGATTCAGGGTTTCTCTGTGTAACTTTGGTGCCTATCCTCGATCTCACTCTGTAGACCAGGCTGGCCTCAAACTCACAGAGATCCGCCTGGCTCTGTGTGCTGGGATCAAAGGTGTGTGTGTGTGTGTGTGTCTGTGTGTGTCTGTGTGTGTGTGTGTCCACCACCCAGCCATGCTGGTTTTTAAGAGCATCTAAACTTATAGATCAACTATAAAATGTAAGATTTATTAAATACCCTTTACTTGATAAACATAACATAAACCCCACTAAAGCTGGGCAGTGGTGACTCTGCCTTTAATCTCAGCACTTGGGAGGCAGAAGCGGATGGATCTCTGTGAGTTAAAGGACAGCCTCGTCTACAAAGTGAGTTCCAGGACAAGCCAGGGTTACACAGAGAAACCCTGTCTAGAAAAAAAAAAACCTACCACACAGAACAACAACAAAAAACAACTGGCAGTGGTACACCTCTCTAATCCCAGCAGTTGGAAGGCAGAAGCAGGCGGATCTCTGTGAGTTCAAGGCCAGCCTGGTCTACAGAGGGAGTTCCAGGACAGCCAAGGCTGTTACACAGAGAAAACAAAACAAAACAAAAACCCAATACTAAAATGCCTTTCAGTAGTAAAAGGCAACATCCTTTGACATAGGGAATTCAGTAAATTGGCATAAAAAATGGCATAGACAGTTGCATCCTTGTGTGTAACCATTACCTGTAACAGGCCAGTGAAGACAAATTGAAACACAGGTAAAACTTCCACTTGGTTCTGAGACAGTTTCCCCAGTGACTGCTAATCTTTGGTGGGGTTTGTGTGTGTGTGTGTGTGTGTGTGTGTGTGTGTGTGTGTGTGTGTTTTGTTTTGTTTTGTTTTTTTTTGAGACAGGATCTCACTTGGTAGCCTGAAACTCACTGTATAGACCAGGTGGCCTCAGACTCACAGATATTCCTTCCCTCTACCTCCCAAATGCTGGAAGCTACTATGTTAGGCTTAACCTTTGTTTTTGAGAAAGTATCTCATGTATCCCAGGGTATCCTTGAACTTATATGTAGCTACAGTTGACCTTGAATTTCTGGTCTTCCTGCGACTTCCTGAGTGCTAGATTTATGGGCATGTACCTGGTTTGATAAGATTTAGTATGATGCTAGGAATTGAACCCAGGGCTTAAGGCATGGGTAGGCAAGCATGCTACTTAACCAGGTGTTCCTCAGTTAATATTCACCACTGCCACCCCCTTTTGAGACAGGGTCTCAATATGTAACCCTGGCTAGTCTGGAGCTTGCAGTGTAGACCAAGCTGTCCTCAAACTCACAGAGTACACCAGACAGAAGTACTTCTTCTGTCTCCTGAATTGTGGGATTAAAGGAATGAGTCACTACACCTTGAGTGTTGTTACTTGGTTATTGTTCATGATTTCTAGGAGACAATATGTGGTCTCTTGCCAACCTGGAGTTCCAAATTAGGCTAAACTAGCCATTATACCTGCCTGTCTCCACCTCCCCAGAGCTAGGATTGTTAGCACACACTGTCACACTGGATTTCTTTTTTAACAAGAATGCTGGGGGTTGGATGTGAGCACCTCTGTCCTCCCTGATCTTGTCTTATCAGTACTTTAATTACTGTACAGTAACTGTGGGATGCTTTAATAGCTAGTGGATTCTAATTATTGCTGTAGTCTTGTTTAGTTAAGATATTTTATGTGTATGGGTATTATGCCTGCATATACATCTGTGTATCATGTTCATAATTGGTACCCAAGAAGGCCAGAAATGAGTGTTGGATACGCAGGAACTAGAGTTACAGAAAGCTGCTGTGTAGGTGCTGGGAATTGAAACAGGGTCTTCAGAAAAAGCAGCCAGTGCTCTTAACCTCTGAGCCATCTCTCTAGCCTATGTAATTTTAAATTATTTTATTTGCCTATTTATCTATTTATTGAGACAAGATCTCTCTACATCTCTACGTAGCAGTGGCTGCCTGGAACTTGCTATGTAGACTTGGTTAGCCTTGAACCCACCTTGATCTGCCTGCCTCTGCCTCTAGAGTGCTGAGATTAAAAGCTTGTGCCGCAATACCTGACTCTAATTTTCTTAAGCATTCATATGTATGATATATGTGTGAATGCTAGTGTCACTGTGTGTGTGTGTGTGTGTGTGTGTGTGTGTGTGTGTGTGTGTGCGCGCTTGTGCGCACATGCGCGCGCGCAAAATAGAGAAAGAGAGTGTCTGTAGACAGGCAGGCAGGCAGATTGGAACACGATTTTACAAAGTTGGTTCTCCCTTTCCACCATGTGAATTCTAGAGATTACGGGTTACCAGGCTTTTACTCTCTGAGCCATTTGACTGGCTCCTGTAGTCAGTCTTTTTGTCTGCCTCTGTTTGTTTGCCATGTGGGTGCCTGTGGAGGCTAGCAGAGATTGTTATAACCCTTGGAGTTACACGTAGTTATGAGCCACTCCACATGGGTGTTAGAATCCAAACTGAAGTCCTCTGCAAGAACAGCAATTGTTCTTTACCACTGAGCCAACTCTCAGCCCCCCATAGTCATTCTATAGTGTATAATTCTAACAACCTAAAAGGCTGTAATGTAGATTTCATTGTTCTATAAGTGTCTAATTTTTAAGCAATATGGTGCTTTCTACAACCTGTTATCATGAAAACTAACATAGGATGGGTGTGTCAGGTAAAGTGTATATTTGGAGCAGAATTTGTACCTTTTTGTTGGGGTGGGGTTTAAGACAAGGTTTCTCCATGTAGCTCTGGCTGGCTGTCCTGGAACTCACTCTATAGACTAGGCTGACCTTGAACTCACAGAGAGCTGTTTACCTCTGCCTTCAGAGTGCTAGGATTAAAGGCGTGGGCCACCACTGCCCTTCGAGTTTGTTCATTTAATCTTAGTTACAGAGGAGTGATGGGGGTTAATGTTTTAGATGTGATGCTCCCTTCATAAGTGATAAGAAATTATCTTAAGTCGGTGATAATATTTTGTAGACTTAAGCAGTCATGTCCTAGAACTCATATCTGCTGAAAATCAACCCTGTTTTAGTTCCTAAGCTAAACCCATAATAAAATAAATATTATTTTAACCTGACAGTAGGGGCTGGAAAGATGGCTTAGTGCTAAGAACACTGGCTGCTTTTCCAGAGGACCCAATTAAATAGCCATCACCCACGTGGCACTTAACAGTCTTCTGTAACTCTAATTTCAGGGGATCTGAACGCCCTCTTCTGGCTTTAGTGGGTACTACACACGTGCGATGCACAAACATACATGCATCTATACATAAACAAAACTAAATCCCTCGGGAGGTAGAGGCAGAGGCAGGCAGATCTCTGCAATTTCGAGGCCAGCCTGTTCTATTCTACAGAATGAGTTCCAGGACATCCAGAGCTACCCAGAGAAACCTTGTCTTGAAAATCAAAATAAATAAATAGTAACTGGGCTGGTAGTGCACGCCTTTAATTCCGGTACTCAGGAGGCAGAGGCAGCCAGATCACTTGAGTTCAAGGCCAGTCTACATAGTTCTAGGACAGCCAGAGCTACATTGTGAGACCCTGTCTCAAAAAACCTGACAGTATTTAGTATTTAATGTTCTTGTTAATAAATGAAACATGACAGACATTTCTCTTCAGGTGTAGAATGAGCCAAGGAGACTCCAACCCAGCAGCTATTCCACATGCAGCGGAAGATATTCAAGGAGATGACAGGTGGATGTCTCAGGTAAAGGGTGGTGCAAATGCATTACTTGTGTGGCTAGATCACTTTGTTTGGTGTGTATGCAAGTAAATGTGTGTGCGTGCACAAGCTAGCATGTGTTTGCACGCATGTGATGGCCAGAGATCTGGTGTTTTCCTCAATTGATTGTTCTCCACCTTACTTTTGAAATAGTGTCTCTCACTGAACCTGGAGCTCACTAATTTGGCATGACTAAGCTGGTCAGCATACTTCAGGGATCTTCTCGTCCCTTGTTTCCCCACTGCCGGGGGGCCAGGGTTTAGTTGGTTGGTTGGTTTTTTCATTTTTTTTACTTTATGTATACATATCTGTGTGTGGGTGCCCGAAGGTGCCAGGACTACCAAGAGTTTTTTTGTTTTGTTTTGTTTTTGTTTTTCAAGACAGGGTTTTTCTGTGTAGCACTGGCTGTCCTGGAACTTGCTCTGTAGTTCAAGATGGCTTTGAACTCAGAGAGATCCTCCTTCTTCTGCCTCCTGAATGCTGGGGTGAAAGATGTGTGCCACAGGGCTGGAGAGGTGGCTCAGTGGTTAAGAGTACTGGCTGCTCTTCCAGAGGACCCAAGTTCCAATTCCCAGCACCCACATGGCAGCTCAACTCACAACTGCCTTTATCTTCAGTTTCTGGGGATCTGACACTTTCACACAGATATATATATATATATATATATATGACAAAACACAAATGCACATACAATAAATTATTTTTGAGAAAGATGTGTGCCACCACCACCATTTCTTTTTTTTTTTTTAATTTTGTTTTTGAGACAAAGTCTTCTAATAATCCTGCTTCCGCCTCCCACATGCTGAGATTACAGTCATAAAATGCTCACTATGTAAATACTCTGCCAACTGAGATCCCCATCCCTGATTCTAGGGTTTAGGAAAAAGGAATAATCTGTAGAACTGTCCCTGAAACTAGATTAGAAACTGTTGCCTAGCCAGATGGTGGTGAGTTCAAGGCCAGCCTTCTCTACGTAGTGAGTTCCAAGACAACTAGAGCTACATCGTGTAAGACCCTGTCTCAAACAACATCAGATGTTTCTCTTTTCTTCTTCTTCTTCTTCTTCTTCTCCTCCTCCTCCTCCTCCTCCTCCTCCTCCTCCTTCTTTTTTTTAATGGTTTTTCAAGACAGAGTTTCACTGTGTAGCCCTGGCTGTCCTGGAACTCGATTTGTAGACCAGGCTAGCCTCGAACTCACAGAAATCCACCTGCCTCTGTCTCCTGAATGCTGGGACTAAAGATGTCCCCAACACAGCCCGGCAAAAAAAGTTTCTTAACCAGATATGCTAGGTAGCACATGCCTAGCATCTAAACTCAGGAGATTGAGGCAGGACTACCAGGAGTTAAAGCCCAACCTGACTTATTTAGATCCTGACTTTAAACAAACAAAACCAAAGCCAATGAGTAGGGCTGGGTGTGTGGTTCAGTGATAGACTTAGCTGGGCCCTGTGATGCACACCTCTAGTTCTGGTTATTTAGTAGACTGAGACAGAAAGATCACTTGAGATCCAGAGTTTGAAGCCAGCTTAGGCAACTTAATTGAAAGGAGGGGAAGGGAGAGTGAGTCAGGCATGCCACTACTGGGTTACTACTGCTTTTAAACTTGGATTAGACTGAAAAGGATTGAGTACTGATCTACTGACAGTTTAACATTTGGATATTATAGCTGTGTTCAAAATGTGTATTATATCTAAAAGCTAGGCATCTACTTCAAGAGGAAGCTGAGAAAAAGAAAAAAAAAGACTTGGGTTTTAATTAGATCCTGGTTCAAAGATAAATGTAATACTTTTTAAAAAGAATCTGTAAAGCCTGAATATGGATTGGATGTTAGATGTTAATGGGCTATTTATTTTCTTAGTATGGTTTCATAAAAGAACATTCTAGGGGTTAGAGAGATGGCTCAGCAGTTAAGAGCACTAGCTACTCTTCCAAAGGTCCTGAGTTCAATTCCCAGCAACCACATCGTGGCTCACAACCATCTGTAATGAGATTTGGTGTTTTCTTCTGGCCGGCAGGCATACATGCAGACAGAACACTGTATACATAATAAATAAGTTAAAAAAAAAGAAGAACATTTTAACTTGTGTTTGCTGAAGTACTTGAGTCATGGGTAGTAGCGAGATGGTTCAGCAGTTAAGAACATTTGCTACATAATTATGAAGAGCAGAGTTCAGATCCAGCACCCACATTGGGTGGTTCACAGAACACCTGAATCTGCAGCTAAAGGGATAGGATGCCTTCTTGTGGCTTTCTCAGTCACCCTCATACACTCACATGCATATGCAGGCCTACATAAAGTAAAAGTTTAAAAGAAAAAAATTAAAAGAATAGTTTAGTTCACACCTATTTTCCCAGCACACTTGGGAGGTAGAGGCAGAAGGATATAGGAGTTCAAGGCTAGCCTGGGGTGTTTGAGACAGTTTCCAAAAAAAAAAAAAAAAAAAGCTGGAGGTGGCACACACATTAGCTACCAACACTCAGGTAGAGGCAGGTGGATCTCTTGAGTTTGAGACCATTTTGGTCTGTATATCAAGTTATAGGCCAGCCAGGACTGTATAGTGAGATTTCGTCTCAAAAACAACAACAAAACTCAAATAGTTTAATAGTACGTAGCTGTACAAAGAGATAAAGCAAATGTAGAAAATGTTGTCATAAGTTTGCATCGGTGTGGTTGCCAGGTCTATAAGGCAGCACAGAGACACAAGGATGAGGAGGATTGCTGCAAATTTTGAGGTTAGCCTGGTCTATGTAACAAGTTTCCGGTGAGACCCTGTCCTGAAAGGTTTCTTTTTGTTTTAAATTATGTGTGTGTGTGTCTGTGTGTGTGTGTGATCATGTCTGTCTGTGTGTGTCTCTGGGTCAGAGGGCAACTTACAAGAGTTGGTTCTCTCCTGCCATTTGAGTTCCAGGGTTCAAACAGGTTTGCCTGTAAGGGCCTTTACCTACTACTGAGTCATCTTGATGGCCCCCAAAATGCCTTTTTATTTATTTTTCCTAATTTGTTTGTTTGTTTGTTTGTTTTTTAATGATATGAAGCATTTTGATATTCTGGATTTGGTAGAATTGTGATTTTCTTGAATCTAAACCAATAAATAGAATGATCAGTATGGTAAAGGTAGAAATTAATTTCCAATTAACTCAGAAAAAAAGAATAAGCTTTAGGATAGACTGAAAAGGATGAATAGCTTGGTTTGCTTGCTTGCTCTCCTATTGTATAGTGTTGGGGGTGGATCTCTGGGTCTTGCTCATAAAGAATGTTTTACAGTACCTGGTTGGACAACAATTTGTTTAGGCCAACAAATTGCGAAAGGAAAGAAATACCAATTTCTTATTTTTCTTTCTTCTACAAACCAGCATAATAGGTTTGTTCTGGACTGTAAAGACAAAGAGCCGGACGTGCTGTTTGTGGGAGATTCCATGGTACAGTTGATGCAGCAGTATGAGGTAAATCAGAGGGTGTTCTTGGCTCCTAGTGTATGTCCACTGATACCTTACAAACTTTCTCATAGGCTTAGGATTCAGAGATACTCTAGTGCCGTCTACAAGGGAAGGCAGATCTACCTAGTGGGATTCTTGGTGTAGTTATTTGTAACTAAACTCCCTTTTTGCTCTTGACTTCCAAGAAGCTTGCTGTATTTGCCTGGTGGTGATGTATGATTCTTACTTCTGTTTGCTTTGTCCTGCTCATGATTCTCACTTGTTTGTTCTACCGCTTTCTGATGGTGTGTGTGTGTGTGTGTGTGTGTGTGTGTGTGTGTTGGGCGAGGGGGCAGGGGTTAGAGATCAAATTTCTCTGTATAGCCCTGGCTGTCCTGGAACTCACTCTGTAGACCAGGTTAACTTCAAACTTCAAGATCTGCCTGTCTATGCCTCCTGAGTGCTAAGATTAAAGGAGTGCACTACCATTGCCCTGCAATTTACTGTATATTTTTGTAATGGGCTTTTCCGAATCTTTTTAGGGTTGGGCATTCTTCCAAAGGAAACTTAAAAGAAAATACAGCTTTGTTTCTTTTTGGTTCCAATACTCTTAAGTTTCTTCAACTTGTATTTCTTCACTGGTTTTTTTTTTTTTTTGGAGACAAGGTTTCTTTATAGAACAGTTATATAACAGTCTTGTCTGTCCTGGAACTCTCTCTGTAGTCCAGGCTGGCTTCAAACTCATAGAAATCCAAGTGCTGGGATTAAAGGCATGGACCACTACCTCCTGGCTTCACTTCATTTTTTTTTTATTTTTTATTTTTTTATTTTTGGTTTTTCGAGACAGGAAAGGCACAAAGCAGAGATCCGCCTGGCTCTGCCTCCCGAGTGCTGGGATTAAAGGCGTGCGCCACCACCGCCCGGCCATTTTTTTTTTTTAAATAGTTGAATTCATGAAAAAGTGTTTATTGAGCTGACAGCTTGATTTAGGGTGTTGCTGTCTCAATGGGCATAGAATGTGCTGTGCAGGTTCTTGAGCAAAGACTCAGTGCTTCATTAAGAACTGAGTCATTGCACGCTAGCATCTCAAAGCCCTTTAAGTGAGTGGCATATTGTTTTCAGTGCAAACATTTGAATAAGGAACGTGGAAGGTTAGCATGTAGAAGATTAGTGGCGGTGGTAGTGCACACCTTGAATCCCAGCACTAGGGAGATAGAGACAGGCAGATCTCTGAGTTTGAGGCTAACCTGGTCTAGAGTGAGTCCCAGGACAGCCAGGGCTGCACAGAGAAACCCTATCCCAAAAAGTAACAACAAAACCGTGGAAGATTTATTAGTTTTAGATGTATTAAATCATGTTGCAGTTGAAGAAATTTTATTTCCAGTGATTTTTTTTTTTTAGTTTAACTATATCAAGTTTTTTGTCTTTAGATATGGAGAGAGCTGTTTTCCCCACTTCACGCACTTAATTTTGGAATTGGGGGAGACACAACACGACATGTTTTATGGAGACTAAAGAATGGAGAACTGGAGAACATTAAACCTAAGGTGATGAAACATACTTTTAAGAGTGTATGATTAATCTCGAGTCTTTCAAATATGGCTGTTTGAAGCAGTGGAAAATTGCTTCTTGAAAGCCCTGTTTTATGCTTGCTCTTTGCTTCATGCTTGTTTATGGGAAACATCATTGCTTAGGAAACATACTGAGAGAGGCACTGGCTTAAAAAGGACTCAATCTGTTGTTTGGTTGAGTTGTATTGTGATTGTTATGACTCTTCACATGTAGGAATCAAATTGATGCTCAGTAGAATGTGCAATGTGTGGGCCTGGGCAGTACGGTGGGAAGCAGAGCCATGACTCACTTCAGCAAATTCTGAGCATATAAACAGATATATAGCCAAGTTCTCTGAGTGCTTCTGAAAAATGTTTAGGACAAATGTGAACAAATGAATCTGTAATGCCTTGTCACATTATAAACATCTGCACTTGGTGCACTGCATATAAGTTTTTAAAACCCTAAAGAGAAAGAAAAGAAGAAACAAAAGAGAGTCACTAATGAAAGTTAGTTTCACTGGGCATAGTGGTGCATGCCTTTTAAATACGAGCGGAGAAAACATGTTTAAAACACAGCCTCCATCCCAGTGACTCCTTTCTTGAGTGCACCTGTGTATTTATAGCCTTTGCACTCCTGGCTGCTCCTGCTATTGCATAGTGTATTTCTAACCAGGGAAATCTTACTGTGTGTGAAGCAGGTCCTTAAATCCCACTTTAATACATCTGTCTACCAGGAATGTTTCATTTTTATTCAGTTGAGTTCATTGTTTTTTTCTGTGTAGTTAATCAATTGTGAGAGTAATTCTTTCTTGTTTCTTCCTGGTATAATTTTGGCACTTAAATATTAAATACTTGTAATTTATCTTGAAACATAATATTAGGCATAAGTCACTGTTTTTGGGGGGAAGGAATTTGATTACGTGTATTTATTTCATGTGTATGCATTATGTGCTGCAGTACATGTGTAAAAGTCAGAGGGCACTGTGTAGAAATGGGTTTTCTCTTTCTACCACATGGGTTTGGAGACTGACCTCAGATTGAAGGCTTGGCAACCATGAAGCCATTTCACTTTCAGTTTCCGTTTCCCAGACTGAAGTTACTCAACATCCTCTGGGAAGCTCATTCTTCTTTTGATTTTTTAAAAGTTTTTATTGCAGTTTCTATTTATTTTGCTTGTGTCTTCACGTGCACACATGTGAGTGAACATACTGGCACTGTGGAGGTCAGAGGACATTTGTGGGAGTCAGTTCCTTCTTTGCAACTTGTGGGTCCAAGGGAATCAAACTTAGGTCATTAGGCTTCTTGGCAAATCCCTTTACCTGATGAGCCTTCTCACCTGTTTCCGATTCTCTTGCTTTTCATTTAAATGTTTCATGTTCTTTTATTTCTTGGTCTTTATCTTCTCTCTTTTCCCTTCCCTCATTATAGGTCATTGTTGTCTGGGTAGGAACAAACAACCATGAAAATACAGCAGAAGAAGTAGCAGGTGGAATCGAGGCTATTGTACAACTTATAAATACAAGGCAGCCACAGGCCAAAGTCATTGTGCTGGTAAGTAGTCTTTCTGGGTGGAGAATTTTGTGTCTTTAGACCCACTGGGAATCTTTTTAAAAATGGTATCTCATCAATACAGAGTCTTTAAGTGGGAGCAGTTTCTGATGGTTGTTGTAAGGACAGGATGGTTAGAAGGAAAGGTCATGGAGGGAGGTATTTGCTATTACTAGTAGTTCAGGTTTTATCTTGTAGGTGCTGAAAAGTCACATCTTTTTTGACTGATGTGTGTCTGAAGCCAACCTATAAGAATTAGTTTTTGCCGGGCAGTGGTGGCACACGCCTTTAATCCTAGCACTCGGGAGGCAGAGGAGAGTGGATCTTTGTGAGTTTGAGGCCAGCCTGGTCTACAGAGCGAGATCCGGGAAAGGCACAAAGCTACAAAGAGAAACTCTGAATCGAAAAACCAAAAAAAAAAAAGAAAGATTTATTTTTCACTGGGTGGGTGATGGTGGCAAACTCCTTTAATCCCAGCAAGTTCTAGGGCATCCAGGGCCACATAGAGAAACCCTATCTTAAAAAAACCACCAGCAACAACAAAAGAAGTAGTTCTCTTCTATCACTATGTAGGTGCCAGGGATCAAACTCAGGTCATCAGGTTTCGTGACAGCTTTTACCTGGTGAGTTATCTTGCCAGCTCCGGATCTTAGTTTTTATTTCATGGCATTTAATTGTTGGTATAGCTATTGCATTCTATGCCTTATTCCATACTGGTATGTTGTGACTGAGTGTTTAGCTTTGAAAAAGCTTCATGGGAATGTTAATGTATGAACAGTTCAGGGTAAATTCTCCATAAATATTCTTTGTTTTAAAGTGGATATTAAGGAGCTGAGGGCATATAACTCAATGGTAGAGCATTTGCATCGTATGTGTGTGACCCTGGATTTGATCCGTAGCACCAAATTTATGTATAAAAAATAAACCAAGTTTGATAAAGGTATTGATTATAGTCTTATCAATAATACTGAAACATTATATGTAACCTAAATGATGAATCTGATAGGGGAGTGATCCCAGAGCTTTTTAATACATTAGCACAGATCATATTACAACTATGAGTGGATGTGAAAAAGACCATGATGTTTTGAAGTGGAAAAACCTATGGTTACTTAAACATACACACATTTATTTGGATACACACACACACACACACACACACACACACACACAAACACACACACACACTATTTGGAAAGTCTAAAAGAAACAGAATTAGAAGTTTTTAGAAGTTTAAAGGGATTAAATTATCTCTGTGTATGCATACATGTGAGTGTGAATGCTATGATGCACATGTTGCAAAACAACTTCAGATGTTAGTCTTTGCCTTCTACCTAGTTTGAGACAACATCTCTTGTTCCACACTGCATATTCCAGGGTAGCTGGCCCACAAACTTCCAGGAATCCTCCTGTCCTTACCTCCTGTCTCAGAATAGCAGTTCAGGGATTGTGGATAACTGCTGTGCCTTGCTTTCCTTGGATCCTGGGGAACTTGAGTTCTTGTGCATGGGCAGCAAGAACTTACCCATTGAGCCATCTGTGTGGCTAGGAGTTTAATGTCTTATTTTAGCAACGATTTAAAATCAAAGGGGGAAAAAATGAACCAGCACACCTTGGTACTTTGATTAAGGAAAATGTTATGCAAATACATAAACTTTTTCTCATTTTTTAAAATAATTAGTTATTTTGTGTGTGCCGTACAAACTTGTGTCATGGTATGTATATGAAGGTCAAAAGACAACTTAAGAGAGTTGATTTTTCAGGGGTTGGGGATTTGGCTCAGTGGTAGAGTGCTTGCCTAGCAAGCACAAGGCCCTCGGTTCTGTTCTCAGCTCCGAATTTAAAAAAAAAAAAAAGAGTGAGTTGATTTTTCTTATACCACCTGGTTTCTGAGGATTGAGGTTAGATCAACAGGTTTATTGGCAGTGACTTTTCTCATCGAACCATCTCAATGGCTATTTTTTCCTCGTTCTTTTTTTTGTAAATTCTAGTAGATATGTTGCCCCAATCATGAGAAATAGTCATTCTGTTTTTTATGACTTGAGAGTTAGAACAAAGTGTGTGTTTATTGGTCCCTGGTCATATTTCCTGGTTATTCCTTCTATCTCAACCAGACTTTGTTGGCATTGTTAACATGTGAAATATTAGGTACAGAGTCTTCAACTTTTTCTACCTGTCGGGTATTCTGTAGCCAAGGCTGGCATCAGACTCAATATGTAGCTTTAGATATTTAACTTCTACTCTTTAGCCCCCAACTGTGAGGATTACAGGCATGTGCCATCCATCACTCCTAGTCCCTGAGTTTGCACTTAACAGTAATAAGCTCAGCTTTAGGACTGACTTCATCATTTGAAGTGTTTTAGCATAGCAAGTACAGAGGGAGATGAACCAGTGTAACAATCTGAGAATTCTCTGGCTTTTGAGGAGCTATAAAATCATAGTTAAATTGGCAGCCAAAGCCCCAACACATTACTGAAAGAACTAGAGTAAATATGTACAAGTGTATGCTTTGAATATATGTTTATTTTTTGTAAAATAAAACTCACTGTAAGGCTGAGCAGTAGTGGTGCACAACTTTAATCCCAGCACTAGGGAGGCAGAGGCAGCTGGATCTTTGAGTTTGAGGCCAGCCTGGTCTACGGAGCTGGACAGTTCCAGGACAGCCAGGGATACCCAGAGAAACCCTGTTCTGAAAAAAACCCAAACCAACCAAACAAACCAATAAAAAACTCACAGTAAGGGCTGGCACTGTAGCTCATGGTGGAGCTCTTACTTTACATTCATGAGGCCCTTGGTTTAATCCCCAGTACTACCAGTAATAACAAGTAAAATAAAGGACACACAATAAATCTGTTCTTGAAACACAACATCTTACATACTCTGTAGCACAAATTGGAAACAAAATTTTTACCTGAATAGCAAGCAGTTACATTTCCTTGTGTACCATTACTAGGTATTGGCCAGCTGCAAGGATAGCAGTGTCTGGCAGTACTTCTGTAATAGAACCAACTGATTATCTAATGAACACTACTGCTAGTTTGCATTGATAAAATCTTGCTCTTGCCGGGCGGTGGTGGCACACGCCTTTAATCTCAACACTTGGGAGGCAGAGGCAGGTGAATTTCTGTGAGTTCGAGGCCAGCCTGGACTACAAAGTGAGTTCCAGGGAAAGTGCAAAAGCTACACAGAGAAACCCTGTCTCGAAAAACCAAAAAGAAAAAAAAAATCTTGCTCTTGACATGTAATATTTCTCTTTACCATAGTAGCAAGACAGACGTTGATTTATCTGAAAATTGTATTAGATCATTGATATACAAGTTAAAATTAACTTAGGATATATTTATCTTACTAGGTATGTAATTCATGTGTTTCATTAAGACAGCTTTGATTCCAATTCTCTCTCTCTTTTTTTTTTAGATTTATTTATTTATTATGTATACAGTGCTCTGTCTGCACATATCCCTGCAGGCTAGAAGAGGGCACCAGGTCTCATTACAGATGGCTGTGAGCCACCATGCGGTTGCTGGGAATTGAACTCAGGACCTCTGGAAGAGCAGGTGGTGCTCTTAACCACTGAGCCATCTCTCCAGCCCCCCAATTCTCTTTCTTATAATGTTATAGTGTAGCTTTCTTTGGCATTGATAGGTTTGTCTAAGCTACATTCTCCTGACAAGGTATATAGAGAAAGAATTGAAGGGAGGACATACTGGCTTTGGGAGAACTAGTGGGAGATATTTTAGTAATTGGGATGAATAGCATTAAGTTCCTAAGCAAAAGTAATGTATATTACCGTGGTGAAGAAAAAGAAGATGGAGGCTGCGGATGTGACTCAGTTGATACAGTGCTTGCTGGGCATGCAGTGAAGCCCTGGGTTCCATTCCTGGTACCACATAAACCAGATGTACTGGTATATGCCTGTAATCCTTAGCCATGTAGTAGTTTGAGTCTAGCCTGGGATTCATGAGATCCTGTCTCAGAAAACAAAGATTAATTAGAGAAATATATAGAATGTAAGCATTTTGTGATTCCATGATAAATAATGAATGTGAGGTGAGAGACTTGGGATGTTGGAATGACAGTTGATACAGTGGACAAGGAGCACAGTTTAAAGAGAAGATGATGAACTGCTGTTGGACATGCTGTGGGGACTTCAGGAACATTTCGTCTGTAGGTGGAAGTTCAGTGGAATTCTGAAGCTCTAAAAATGATCTTGGCTAAGGTGTTCAGAGTGGCAGGCTAGAGAGACAGCCTAGTGGTTAAGATTACTTGCTGTTCTTCAAAGGACCTGGGTTTGACTCCCAGTACCCACATGATGACTCATAACCATCTGTAACTTCAGTTCCAGGGCATCTGATACCCTTTTCTGTCCTCTTTGGGTACCAGGTACAGATATGGTACATAGACATATATGGAGGCGAAACACTCATACACATAAAATAATTTTAAAATGTTCAGAACGAAGAATAGTGGGTCCTAAAGATATCTGCAATCAGCAACAGTTTGAGGAAGACACTCAAGAACAAACAGGTCAGCTTTAAATAAAACTACCATAGTCAGGGCTAGAGAGATGGCTTCCATGACTAAGAACACTGACTGCTCTTCCAGAGGACCCAGGTTCAATACCCAGCACACACATGGCACCTCACACCTGTCTGTAATTTCCAGTTCCGGGGCTTCTGACATCTTCACACAGACATACATACAGGCAAAACACCAATGAACATAAAATAAAAATAAATTATATTTAAAAAGAAAAAAAAAAACCCAACCTGCCATAGTCTGATTTTTAGAAGCCAGAGTGTGCCAGATGGAACAGATATCCCAGGAATACTGGAAGTCATAAGTAAAGAAAAACAAATAGCTCTCTCTGTTAATGCTCTTCTGTGCTCTGCCCTAGGGTCTGTTACCTCGAGGTGAGAAGCCCAACCCTTTAAGACAAAAGAATGCCAAGGTGAACCAGCTTCTCAAGGTTTCCCTGCCGAAGCTTGCCAATGTGCAGCTCCTGGATACAGATGGGGGCTTCGTGCACTCGGACGGTGCCATCTCCTGCCACGACATGTTTGATTTTCTTCATCTCACGGGAGGGGGCTATGCAAAGATCTGCAAACCCCTCCATGAACTGATCATGCAGTTGCTGGAGGAGACACCGGAGGAGAAGCAAACCACCATTGCTTGACTGGCCATCAGTGTTACCAGCATCCCAGCTTCCTCAGATCAGTTACACCACTGGCACTACAGAATCCTTTCTTAAGGCACTTTGCATTGTACAATGTTCCTGGATGCTTGTATCTAATGTTTGAAGGGGAGGAGGAGGGATTTAAACTGGTCCTGTATATAAAAGTTGGTTTGGCACAGGAGAAAAATTAGCCAAGGAAAATTCATTTGAAACCAGAGGGGACTTTTTAGTTGTATATGACACCTTTGTCGAATCATCACTGTTTTTCCTAGGACAACATCAAGCACGAGTACAACATGAAGATTCTTTTCTTGGCCCTTTTTTCTATGGATTATGTCTTATGTGATAATTATCACATCTACTTGGCTTTAAACTTATTTTTGGTCCAGTTGTAAGGTTCATGAGTTAGTGTGTTGTGTTGTTTTGTTTGATTCATGTATCCTCAGTATTTTTATATAACATATAGCATCAGATTAAACATGCTTGTCATTCAAATGCGGAAGATGCTATAGTTACAAGTGAGTCTGTTCCTCTCAATCTAGCAGTGAAAACAAGTTCTGGGGACTGGGGGGGTATTATTTGTATGCTGCTGAATATCATGTCTATAATAGACCCATGCATGCAGCCTTTCCTCTGCTTCCCCTTCATCTCTTTGCAAATGGGTTATTTCCATTGCAAGCTTTTAACTCATTGTTGATCTAGGAGTTGCATTGCTGTCAGGATGATCTTACTGATGTGTAACTCATTCTGTGTGGTGTTCTGTGATGTAGGGTCTGTGTGGTGTTACTCACCCAGAGTTCTGGTTGTCACCCCCTCCTCCCCAACTTGTTATGGTTTGCTTTGTTTTGAGCATTTGTGGTAGGGGTCAGAATTGTTTCCCATTCCATAATGCCTGATGTTATTTTAAGTTTTATATTATCTTAAGGTGTATATGTTTGTTTTCATTTTATATATATAGAGAGATAGATATATATATATTTTACAGTACTGGAATCAAACCCAGGGCCTACCACATACTAAGCAAGTGCTCTGCCACTGAAGTAATCCCTAGGCTTGTTTGTTTTTTAATTGGTTTAATTCTTAAATTCTATCAGTAAAAAAAAAAATTGGCTGTTTAAATGGGAAACAAGCTGCTCTTCGTAATAGATGTGCTATCTTTTTTTGTTTTTTGAAGGCAGAGTTTCTCTGTATAGTCCTGGCTGTCCTGGAACTCTCTGTTTACCAGGCTGTCCTCAAACTCAGAGATCAGCCTGCCCCTGTTTCCCCAATGCTAGGATCAAAGGCATGCCCCACCATGTCCCACTTTGGATGTGCTAGCTTTATTCCACCATTTTAGTAAAGATGAACTAGGTTCATTTTTTTAGTTTTTGAGACAGGGTCTTGCTGTGTAGTTCTGGGTAGCCTGGAACTTGCTATGTAGACCAGACTGACCTTGCACTCCCAGAGATCTGCCTGCCCCTGCTTCCTGAGGACTGAGATTAAAGGCATACACCACCATGCAGGTGTCTCATTTAACTTTGAAGGTTCCTTATGTAATGTGTGTTCATTGAGATTTCAAGAGAGCTCTTTACAGTCCTACTGGTTTGCTCTTGAGCTACACAAACTGCCACTTGGGAGAACAGTAGATTTTTGGTTGTCCAATATGTCTATGGACCCTTTACAAACTGGATCTACAAACATTTTAAACTGGACCAGGTTGGGGATTGAAGTAACCCATTAAATGTGCTCTGTCATGATTCTACTTAATGGTTACATTCAGTAGCTACGATCTAGGCTTTATGTTCTGCTTTCAACGCAGCTATCAGGGCTGGTTTGTGCTGAGACCTGCACCTGACTGAGAAGGATTAGAAGTTGGGATGGCGTTTTTTCCTGGCGAGCCTCTTTGTAGGAGTTTATTTTAATGCATAGTCTTGTGAATATATCATGTCTTCATTAGCAACAGGAAAATACACATGGTGTTTACTAAAATTGTTTACTACATTCAAATTCCCTTTTATTTTTTTAGTAGCCCAAGCTCTTGAGTTTTTCAAGACATTGTTTTCTGAACTGAGGTATAATTTTAGGAAGGAGATCTAATTAAGCCAGAATTTTGTGTGTAAAAAGAACATTTTCTATCCTGGTGTTTCTGTGTTCCTCGGGGAGAGAGAGTAGGAGTATGGTCCAAATGAACCCATTAGGTCACTCCTGCAGCATGCGCTTGTAGTTTCTCTCTTGACCAAGGATGAACTAGTCCTATGAGCTGGCCTTCAGCTCCTGCATATGTGTATAAACCCCAGATGTTACTACATTTTATATCTACCAGAGCTATTCAAGCAATAGTATTTGAACCACTAGCCTTTTAAATAAAACTCTGCCCTATTGCTAATGTGCAGCTACCGAGTCCACTGTCATTTCTTGCCAGGTTTATTTGTGCTGTTTTAGGGGAACAGTGTTCATTGCTTTTTCTTTGGTTTACATCCCAGATTGCTTAGTCTTTGTAATTTTTTTTTTTTTAAGATATGAACTGAATGCAGTGTCCACATGAAATGTCCTAGTTTGTCACTGTGATTAAGGGACCAGACAGCTAGCACAGATAATACTTTGTTCTCTCTTTTTGGTAGGTGGGCTGGTGGTTTTCTTAGGCAGAGTCTACATGTACCCTGGCTGCCCTAGGATGTTTGGTGATCCTCCTGTCTCTCTCTCCAGCCCTGGATTACAGGCCTCCTCCACCATTCCTGGCTTGTTCTGTTCCTTTCCTAACGTTTTTCTTCCCTTTGAGACAGGGTCTCACTATAGTACAGCCTGGCTTTCAACTTACCATGTAGCTGTAAGATGCCCTTGAACTCAGTCTTTCTGCAAGCTCTACCGTCCAGGTGCTAGGAGTTGCGTCTAATGTGGCGGGTTGGAGATGCCCTGCCACGGGTATCATCTGTTGCAAGTGGCTTGGCTGCCCTTGCATTGTAGATTATGTTGGCAGTGCTCTGGCCACAATGTCAGGGCTGGTAGGACTGTTGAGGACCTTTGTCTAATCCTGAGTCTTCTGTCAAAATTCTCCACCCAGCAAAGTAAGTTTTGAGTAGCTCATGCCCTGTCCTTGAGAATTGTAACTCTCATTGTTAAAAAAGTCCCAAATTTCTGTTTGCGTTTTTTCAACCTAACCACTTCCAGTTGTATGCTAATGCCTGAAACCTGTTTGTGCTGAGGTGTGTGAGCAGTGCCAGCTTTATATTTATTACAGTGGTGAGGGAAGTAGACACGGAAGGGAGCATGGCCAGCTCCTGACCCTTGAGTGGTGTGGGTGGGAGCAGAGTTGGGGCCTGCCTGTAATCTTCCTCTCCAGGACCACTGCAGCAGGCTGACTGAACCTCCCCAGGGAAGCTCGTGACTGTGTTTTGGTAAAGGCTTCTTGACTAGAATCCATTCTGTTCAGTGCTTATTTAATATAAAAGTCAACATTTCACTGCGAACTTACTGATGTCTTCCTGTCTCTTTTATCGTAGTTTAGATTCCAATGGAAAAAGCAGGGATGGGTTTTCCTACCTTATAAACAAAGTGGATTCTTGGCTCATCTTATGTCCCATGAAACTGAATGTACCAAATTGACTCCACCTCCCGCAGGGTAGGACAGTAGGATGGGTGAGTAATTACCTGGAACCCTGAGTGGATAGATATGTGAGAGGGTGTTGTAGATTGGTCACACTCTCCTTATGTAGCCTTGCCTGGAACTCAGAAATCTGCCTGCCACACCTCTCGTGTGCTCAGATTAAAGGTGTGCCCTACCATGCCTGGCCTTACAGATAACTAATAAACCATAAACTGACCTTTGACCCTGTTTTGTAAATTCAGTGTTTAGAATTTATTCACAGAATGTCCCAGGTGGCATTGTTTCTCCATTCTTCATACCAACAGTCACCATGATTTGAATGCTTGCACCAGTGTCTCCTGTTACCTGCAGCTTACACTCACATGGCCTGCTCTTCTGGGTTCCTGTAACTTCTAGAGAGAAATGCTTCAGGATATCTTCCGTCCCAGGTGTTGTGTGTGGATGTAGCCCCACACAGCTGTTGGCTAAGAGGCCAGGGTTACACAGAGAAACCTTGTCTTGAAAAACAAAAAGAAGAGGCTTAGAAAGTGTGTCACACCCGAGCTAAGGTGGCCTAGCTTAAATAGTTGAACCCAGCTTTGAGGCAGCCTTCCCTCCTTGCCCCGGCGCTGCCTATTGCTCTAGGTTCTGATGAGCTGAGGTCATCGTGGATCTAGTTGCCCTCAGGTGGAGATCCTAGGATTGCTGTGTCTTCTCCCCTGGGTGCGGCAGCAGCTGCTTTATCTGCATGCTGCTAGTGTCTCTCTTTCAGTTCTACTTTTTGTGTGGTCACAACATTCAATCGACTTACTTCAAGTGCACTGTCTGGCCGTCTGACTTCCCACCTTCAACCAGCACTGAAATGAAATCATTGTGAAACAAGAATTTGTACTGATGTACCTATGGGGTCGCAGAGGCTACAGCGCTCTGTGTTAGTTTGTCAGTAAAGTCAAATTTAGAGGATACTACTTAGATGAATGAATCTAAAATGTAAAGAGAATGTGGAGTCAAAATGCAACTCCCTGCATAGCTAATCCTTCCAATATCCAGAAAGATGATTTGTTTGTCCTGTAGCTCAGGCTGGCCTGGAACTCATTGTGTAGCTGAGGATGATCTTGAACTCATCATCCTGCTTCTGTTTTCTAAGTGCTGAGGTTACAGTGTTCACCACATCTGGCCAGACGATAGCTTCAGTGTAAATAGTTGGCCTGCTTCCAGTGCCATGAAGGAGGAGACCATAATTGCAGATGAAAACCTCAGACAAAGTCTTACTCAGACCTCCAGAAAACATGACTGCTTTCCTTGACGTCCATCTTATAGATAAGGCTAGAATGGTTTTTCAGATAGATAGATAGATGAGTGAGTGTCATCGGTCCCAGTATGACACATCACGATGCCAATACAGGACATGAACCTTGAACATAGCCTCATTTACCGCCCATGCCTCCCAAGCTGAAATTGTGTTCCAAGCGTTCTGTGAAGCTATGAGACTAGTCAAGGTATCCTATCCTAATGACAACACACCGGCAGTAGTACACTGGAACATATGGCTAAACATTTCTAGGGCATACTCACTTTATCACACTGCCACAGTGATGCTGCTACATTGAAAGGCAGGCTACAGATGATAAAAGGCAGAAATCCTAAATCGGTGGTTTTCTTCCAATACAGCTAATACAACAAAGTTCCTCTCCACCCAAGCTCTTAGAGATCTTGTCTTTGTCAAAGACTACCTTAGATTGTTTTTAAATAAGGTCTCCCTATGTTGTGCAGGCTGGCCTTGAACTGGCTGTCCTCTGCCTCAGCCTGCCAAGTAGGTGGAATTACAGACCTGGATTACTGGGCCCAGCTTGCTCACATTTTTCGTAGCCATTCTGAATCAAAGATCTTCAGAGTTTGGCTGAACAGTGTTTCTCTTTGATGTCAGTGTGATCTCATGTAGGCCTCTTGCCTTTACTTAGTTTCTGGCTCCTTTAAACTGAATTCATTTATAAGCACATTTTGTTTGTTTGTGTGTTTTTAGACTGGTTCTCGATATCTAGCCCTGACTGGGTTCAGACTGACCACCTTGCCTCAGCCTCCTAGGTGCTAAGATTACAGACATGCACCACTGCTTGGCTTCCACGAACAAATTTTACACACTGAGCAAGCTTAGTCGGCACACTAGTGAAGTCAAATACAACAGCATGCCTTGCACAGCTACTGGCTTACAAGGTCAAGTTCGAGACTCTCCCATTCTCGTTTAATCCTTTGAGCTTTCATGCTGGTACCATGACTTAAGGGTACGACTACTCCAAGGTGACACTGCTGTCTGGACTATGTTCCTGTCCTCCTTGCTGGCTAGTTCCTCAAGTTTCACCCAGCAGGGGCACCTGGAGAGTTGGCTGTTTTGTCCTGTTTCTAGCTCCAGTCTGTGAGGGCTCAAGTCTATGGTCACGTGATATCCTCTGTAAACTTTAAAAAGGGTGGCTGTTTTTGTTGTTGTTTTTCAAACTACATATATTTTGAAGTGTGAGCAAATTGCCACAGTGACCTGGGGAGGTTGGAGGGCAGCCTGTGGGAGTTGTTTCTCTCCTTACCGTGTGTGTTCTGGTTATGGGACTTAGGTCTTAAGGCTGGGCAAATGGTCTTTATCTGCTGAGCCATCTCCCAAGCCTACATAAATACAGAAGGTGCTTTAAGCTTCTCTCTGTTCCCAGTGCAGCTTAGTGACAAGTACAGGCCAGGCACTGAATGAATGAATGAATGAATGGGAAGTCTTTGTCATCTGGCTAGAAACTCAGAACTCCGACAGGAACACAGATCTTTACTTCTGTGCCCACTTCTTTTAGTGACACCGTACAACTTCCATGAAACAATAGAGATTATTTTTGCTAGTGATAAATAAAGGTGAAATAGAAACAAAATGTACTTGGGTAAGGGCATTTGCTGCCAAGCCTGACCTCCTGAGTTCCCTTCCCGGGACCCATATGGGAAGAAGAGAACTGACTTCTGCAGGTTATCCTTTGGCACGCTGTCTCACACATGAGCTCCCCCTCTTCAGCACACCAACAAGCATGATTTTTCAAAGCAGGTGTCTCATAACTGTCTGTAACTCCAGTTCTAGGGCACCAAA